ACAGAGTATGTCACCCTGGGTAGAGTGCTAGTGGCGTCACAGCTCACAGCAACCTCAAGCTCTTGGGCTTAAGCAATTCTTGCCTCAGCCTCCCAAGTAGCTGGGACTATAGGCGCCTATCACAACGCCCCGCTATTTTTTGGTTGGAGTTGTCATTGTTTAGCAGGTCCGGGCTGGGTTCAAACCTACCAGCTCTGGTGCCTGTGGCTGGCACCCTAGTCACTGAGCTACAGGTGCTGAGCCTAGTTTTTTTATTTTTAATAAAAATGAGGGTCTCACTCTTGCTCAGGCTGGTCTGGAACTCCTGAGATCAGAAGGTTCACCTGCCTTGGTCTTCCTGAGTGCTAAGATTATATAGGCTTGATATACCACGCCCAGCTGTTACATTGTTCTGAAAGACTCCTAACACTTCAAGGTAAAAATGGACATCTATCTTCCTAGTCTGGAGTTGAAAATGCTGAGGGACATGGTTGGCCAGAGGAAAGGGAGGCCTGCTTTATTTCCATTTTCCTTTTAACTGCAGGAGAGCAAGACACTGGCTTTTTAAACTCAGAATTTATGGAAATATTTGCAAGTCAGTATAGACCCTTAACCCACAGGAAAACCAAGTGGTGATAAAGCAGGTGCCCTGGAATGTCAGATGCCAGAGGGGGACAGCAAGACCTTGCTTTCTGCTTACCATCAGAGTATGAGCGCTTGTAGAGGGAAGAAGGAGATTTAGTAAATTATATTTTAAATGAAGACACCATCAACATAATACAAGTTTGAGAGATTAAGTCACTATAATTAACTATTATAATTAAGGAGTCACAATGGATTAGTTACCTACTTTTTCTAGCCTGTCCTAATCTTGAAAAATTTCATCATATTTAGAATTATCAACTGGGTGCAGTGGCATGAGGTGGCTCTAGCACTCTGGGAGACTGAGGCAGGTGGGTCCTAGCACTCTGGGAGACTGAGGCAGGTGGGTCCTAGCACTCTGGGAGACTGAGGCGGGTAGATTGTTTGCTTTAGGAGTTTGAGACCAGCCTAAGTAAGATCCATACCCCATCTCTCTAAATATAGAAAAACTAGCCAGGTGTTGTGGTGGGTGCCTTCAGTCACGGGTACTTGGGAGGCTGAGGCAAGAGAATCTGTTGAGTCCTGGAGTATGAGGTTGCTGTGAGTTATGATGCCATAGCACCCTACTGAGGGTGACTGAGTGAGACTCTGTCTCAAAAAATAAAAATAAAATAACTAATAAAGGCTGGATGTGGTGACTCATACCTGTAAACCTAGCACTCTGGAAGGCTGAGGCAGGTGGATTGCTTGAGCTCATGAGTTTGAGACCAACTCAGGCAAGAGGATTGCTTGACCTGACTTGGAGGTTGCTGTGAACTATGACGCCATAGCACTCTATCCAGGGCGACAGGTTGAGACTCTGTCTCAAAAAAAAAAAAAATCTAAAAATTAAAAAACAGATTTTCATCAATTTATTTATAAACATTTTCAGAACAAGATATAAACACAGCCACACATGGTGGCACATGCCTGTAATCTTAGCATTCTGGGAGGCCAAGGTGCATGGATGGTCTGAGCTCAGGAGTTCGAGACCAGCCTGAGCAAGGGTGAAGCCCCATCTTTACTAAAAATAGAAAAAACTAGGTGGTCATTGTTGTGGGCACCTGTAATCCCAGCTACTTGGGAGGCTGAGGCAAGAGAATCGTTTAAGCCCCAGAGTTGGAGGTTGCTATGAGCTCTGATGCCACAGCACTCTACTGAGGGCGACAGAGTGAGACTCTGTCTCAAAAAAAAAAAGATAGAGTCTCACTCTGTCCCCCTGGTAGAGTGCTATGATGTCATCATAGCTCACAGCAACCTCAATCTTAGGCTTACGTGATTCTCTTGCCTCAGCCTTCCAAGTAGCTGGGACTACAAGTGCCCGTCACTACACCCAGCTATTTTTGGTTGCAGTTGTCACTGTTGTTTAGCTGACCCAGGCTGGGTTCAAACCCGCCAGTCTCAGTGTATGTGTTTGGCACCATAACCACTGAGCCAATGAGACTCTGTCTTAAAGAAAGAAAGAAAGAAAGAAAGAAAAAGAAAGAAAGAAAGAAAGAAAGAAAGAAAGAAAGAAAGAAAGAAAGAAAGAAAGACAGACATGAGTTCAAGACCAGACTAAGCAACAAGCGAGACCCTGTTGCTACTAAAAGTAGAAAAACTGAGGCAAGAGGATCACTTGCGCCCAAGAATTTGAGGTTGCTGTGAGCTGTGATGCCACAGCACTCTACTGAGGGCAACATAGTGAGACTCTGTCTCAAAAAAAAAATGTTTTTTTTCATCCTCTCTGGTTATGAGAATGCTTTCATGGCACTTTAAGGTTTTCTTCTGTTCCCCTAAGCTTCATGCTCGTATCCAGTACGAATCTCTCCTGATTGACTAGATGATTGCTGCCCTTAATGCCAGCTTGTCATGATGTCCTCTGTGTAGCATCAGTGCCAGCCTATCATGATGTCCTCTGTGTAGTGTCAATTTAAACGCCAGGCACTTGTGGAGTAATGGTCTTTTTACTTATAACATTTTCAACACCAGATGTTTGAGGCATTTTTGGACTTTTTCCCCCCGACATCAGCCAATTTTCCAACTTTGTGTACACCAATTAGGTATTCTACAGTTCAATTCTGACACTAAGCTGGCACTCCTTATTTATAATAGATTTACTTATTTATTTTTATTTATTTATTGAGACAGAGTCTTACTCTATTGCCCTAGGTAGAGTGCCATGGCATCATCATAGCTCACAGCAACCTCCAATTCTTGGGTTCAAGTGATCCCCTTGCCTCAGTTTTTTCTATTTTTAGTAGAGTGAGGGGATCTCACTCTAGCTCAGGCTAGTCTCAAACTCGTGAGCTCAAGCAATCCACCCACCTCAGCCTCCCAGAGTGCTAGGATTACAGGCATGAGCCACCGTGCCTGGCCTACTTGTTTAATCCAGTATGCATTTAGAGTAGTTTCAGAATTGCTAACTCACGGGTGGCACCTGTGGCTCAGGGAGTAGGGCACTGGTCCCATATACCAAGGGTGGCATGTTCGTACTCAGCCCTGGCCAAAACTGCAACAACAAAATAAAAATAAATTTAAAAATAGTAAAAAAAAGAATTGCTAATTCATGTTTTTGTGAGATATAAGTTTACCAACTATAGTGCAGTGTTTGTATACAATTCTTTGTGTTTTCAACTGACAATTTCTTTCTTTTTTTGTTTTTTTTTTGAGACAGAGCCTCAAGCTGTC